TATGTTTGCAAATGAAAATCTAAATTCATTGCTAGTAGTATTCTAAATATAAAAGTTTGTTCTGGTTTTTGCCTAACTATCATATAGCTATATGGCAAGTTTCTACTTTGTCGTATGTCGTCTCTGGTTCGAGGTCTTCTTCCAATTCCGGGTAGTTCTGTTATGGTTCGGAATATTGGCTCTGATCTATTGAGTCGTAGAGACATTTCGATTAAATTATTGTCGTATAACATTTTGTAAATGTTTTTGTCTAATTTCTAATCTATTTTGGTTAATTCTAAGCTATTAAGGTCTTGTTCGAGACTTATGGTCGCACCAGATGAGTTAGGACCGAGTTGGTTAACTCATAGAGTAATTTCGGATAGGGTACACCGTCTGCTCGTCACGCTATCTTATTTTCGGCCGGATAGATTCGTGCAACTTCTTAGTCTAATACCGATCCTAATCTTACTCTTATACTATCTAGTCTCAGGTTGTTTAACTAGTCTCTGCTAGGCTCAATAGATCTAGGGTATACTGGTTTATTGCGGCTGCTGAAGTGCTCGGGAGAGTCCAACTAATTTCTAAGTTAAATTCAAATCTCTCTGGTGCTGAAATTACAAGTAACTTCAGCACTTACAAATAAGTGGGTTGTTAGTTAGATGGATCATGATTGGTTAATATTAAATACTTTACATTGGTAAAATATCTAATTTATCCAATCATAAAATGTAGTTTAGATCAGGTTCCAGCATTTAAATGGAGTTTTATCAAAATAAGTGTTGCAGTTTGTCATTAGAAAATTGTCTTTTTGCGAATTTCTTGTCATTATCATCAACTATCCAATCGCCCGGTGAAGGAGTCAACCATTTCTTCCCGGAACCGGCAAAATTTTCCTTGCATTTTTTGTCACAACAGATCATTCAACCTCGAAAAAATTTGATGTGAATATATATGATCAAATACCAAATCAAATACCAAAATACCTGAAGCCAATTTTTATTCACTTTTATTAATTGACTTCCCGCACTGACAAACTTGAGATTGAAATCAATTTTTAAACAGATAATATAGAATTTAGAAATCAATTTACGGTAGCCTATTTAGATACGTAAGTCGAATTAGAATAGATTAAAAGAATTTTTAAGGAAAATTGATTTGAATCGATTTAAATCGATATTAGCAAAGTAGTGAAATCCATCAAAATCTCAACAAAATTGGGGTCGAAAAAAAATCCTTTTAATAGTAAAAAAATCCATTCCGACTCAATTTAAATAAATTTGTTCTGCTGATAAACCTGCTTTTTGAAAATAGTCTTATTTTGAAAACAAAATAAGTCAAGTAAAAAATTTAACTTGAAACATTGAAATTTAACAGCATCAATAAAATTTTGAGCCCAAAAATACGCAATAAAACCATAGAGGGTCATCAACATCAAATTGTTCTTTGGAGTTTTTTTTTTCGTTTTTTTGTTAAAAAGGTTTTTTTGTTTTGTTTGTTTTTTTTCTGTTTTTTTTTCTGATTTTGATCGTGTTTTTCTCCTCATAGATATTACTATACAGTGCTTCTCACGCCTTAGAAAACGATTTTGAATCGATTGAAGTTGGTTTTTGAAACTATATTTTTATATCAAACTAGATCGATTTCAAATCAATTCAAATCAATTTTTTATAGGTTTTTGCTACATTATCTGTATAAAATAGATTACAATACGCTTCTTGTCAGTACGGGTTGTTTCCACCGCGAAATAGAACAATTTTTGTAAAGCTGGCGATTATACAGTTTCAATAACTGAGATTGTTCAAATGAAATGTATGTTCAAACTTGACCCAGAAAGGGTCTCCTTCAATCAAGTTTCGACATTTTCCTAGTCTGAATTATGTCTTTTTACGGCGAATAAACATAAGGGGAACAAATTCTTGTTTGGATTGCATATTTACAATTAGGACAGACTTAAGCCAGGGCGTAATCCAGCAAAAGCCCTTAGGGCCAGATCGTCACGTGATCCACAATTGAAAACAATTAGGGCAGGCATGTTTTTGTTGAGAACCCAAATTTGGTCGCTTAAGTTTTGTTGACTATCTCAGCACAGTCATGTCGCCACATGATAAGAGCGCAATTTGAGCCCAAGGCGAACTTCTAGGTATGTTCGAATTGGTAATAAACACAAACAACCTTAGTTTTGTTAAATTTGACAAATCAAAGCAGCAGGAAGAACTTGTAATAGTGCTGTGCTAACCTCTTGCGGAAACTTGGTTTAGAAATTTGAAGTTAATGAACTGATTGAAATATAAACAAGTTTCTGTCAAGAAGTCTGCTTGAATTTGGTCAAAACTATATTTTACGAATAGAATTCAAATTTGCCGAACATAAAATTTATTTTTTTTGGCAAAAGGAGACTTTTTGTTCCGATTTCCAACGAGAGCACGGAAGCATACGAATAACTGGGTTAGGGGTAATTTCCTCGAAAAAATATGTTGTAACTTGTGTGGTTTTTAATCACCACTTTTTTGGGAGATGGGGAGGGCTAAAAGCTTGTAATTTAAAACAGAAGTAAATTATTTGTCTATACGAATTCAAAAACTGCCGATCGGTCTAAAAGACGTTAATTTTTGAAGCTCAAAAGAAAAATAAATTCAAGAACAACCAATTGTTCAAAATTTATCGAAATTGATTTTGGGCTATCTTTGGGTTTTTTAACTGCTTTTAAAATGCTACTAGACGGAAACTCAAAATTCAAAATTGTATCAGTTTTTGTTTGCTTCACAGCAATTTTTTCGACAGAACCAAAAAGCTAGAAGTTAGTCAGAACTAATAATCATACGAATTGTCCTCGATAAGATTTATCAGAAGAAACGGTTATAGAAGAATTATTCTCATGATTTGTGTGAGCTTGACTATCAATAAATTTGACTTCTGAACCGATCAATCGAGGCTTCACTCTGATACGAGCAGTCTTGGTTGTTAAGTAAAATTGCTTAGCTGATTTCATTTTGAGTTGGTCAATTTGCCACTTACGCTACACAAGACTGCTCGTATCAGGGCAAAGCCCTGAAACTGGTCTCGAACTGTTTTTAATTATTGAAGCATTGACTTTTTATGCTTTTTAGCTGAATATTAAGAATCGCATATAGAATTACTAATTAGCTTGCCTCAACTGAATTTGGAACGATTTGGTGGTGCGGGATAGACTAATTGCCAAGACTGAATTGCCAAGACTAAATAATGCGCGTTAAGCTTTCAGAATCAAAGTATCAAAGCGCTTTTTGCCATGCGTTAGTCTATAAGTGAGCATCTCACAGCAATCGTTAAGTCACGATAGTCTAGTGGTAAACGCGACCCTTCTGGGACCACGAAGAAACTTGGATTGAACCTTCGAGTGAAAAATTTGAGAGAATTGGTCTGTACAAAAAAACACCCCGAACATGTATGTATATATATATATATATTCCTAGTTTTCTTTGAAATTGGAACAAAAAGGACAAAACAAGAGAGGCAAACATTGCTAAAATACTTCGATTTAAATTTGAAAAAAATGATAATGAAAGTGAGTCAATCAATTTTTCTTGAAGAACAGATGAGTGAGGTCAAATATTGTTTTTTTTCTGATGGCATCGATGATTAATGATAATGAATCAACTGAGGAAAAAAGTACTTTTTTTCAAACATTTTTCGGCTGGCCAAAGCGTGTCGACATTTTATGCTTACCCGAGTTGACCAAAATGCTTATTATACAATTTTCATTGAAGTACAAAAAATTTCATGAAAAATCTATGACTAATGATTTTTCAAATATGGAAGTTGCATGACTAGTATTTTTCCATAAATTAAAAACTTGATTATTAAGGCTTTTATCTCTCTTAATTTTTGGGTGGTGTTCGTAACCAAACACAAGTGTCAAAGACTTTAGTTACTCAAAAGTAGAGTCACCACAGGTTTGATCTGACCATCTTGCAATTTTTTTTCGAAAACGGCCTAAATTGTCTTAGATTTCTCGTGAACAAATGATATAATGAAACTATCAAAATTTTATTTTATGGCGAAAATTTGCGAAGATGACTTTTGAAATTTCAGTTCTTAATTAACCATGCATTGATCAAGGCATACAAAATATGCCATACAAAACAAATAGGAGTTTTAAGCGTTTATGGAAAAAACCTTCAAAGGAACGAAAGAAGTCAATTTTTGTGTATCCAGGACTAAGTTTTGCACACAAAAACTAATTTTTGCGTGCAAATTTTTTTTTTAGAAAACGTTTGTTTAAATAAAAAATTTTTGGGGGGTAATTTTGATGTGCCATTGAAAAATTTTAGTCATAGAAAATCCAATTGTATGATTATTGTATGATTGGCATTTCTTTGACAAAAAGTTTTCATAAATTGATGAAAACACTTATTTTTTTCTTAATCCAAACCATCGAATGAAATTTCGAAGTGTCTGCATAAGAAATTGGTCTAGGCGACATGTATCTTGTATTGAATTGATTCATTAACTGGTCAAAGGAAAGTTTTGACCGAATGTCAAGATATGCTTTGTCTGCATTTACTATCGCATCTGTGCAAAATTATTACTATGTCTGGTTTTTAAAACTTTAACCATTCCCAGCCCAAATAAATTGAAATTATGTTCGCCTGAATATATCCCTAAATTAAACCTTAGCAAGGATTTTACCCAAACAATTCTGAATGTTCTCCTTAAATATGGCTGATTAAAGTGTATTTGATAGAAATTAGAACTCTCAGAAGATTTCAACCATCAAAAGTTTTGTTATTGTTAACGGCTCACTTGTCACCTCCGAATGATTTTCTATCTTCTTAGAAATATCCGAAGCTTTTACGAATTGGGTTTCTTTTTATTTCCCTGCTAATTTCTATCCATGTTCTTGATAACTGATAGTCAGTTTCAAGATAATCCCAATTTCCTAAGATTAAAGGAGAGAAGTTTTGCGAGACAACACGACGATATTTCTTCAAGCACCATAAAACTGCGGGCTATTTTGACGCGGCTTCCCCGGGTTGGTTTCTTTGATTTGGAGCAATCTACTTTCACAAAGCTTTGTATTTATCTAACTACACAATAAAGTTCCTCGAAACCCAGTATCTTATATAAAATTAACAAAATAACAACATTTTTTCATTAACGCTTTATTTCTATTCGAACAAAATCTATTTATAAGCATAAATTTCAAATGGTATGTTTCAAGGAAACTCCAAGCAAATAGGCAATAAAAGAGACCAATAAACTATATTGACAGACAAAACACATGCTGTTTTCCGTGTCATGAACATTTCTAATGTTGTTTCAAAGTCGCCAAACTGTACTTAGGGTATCTTCTTTCATCTAGTTTGCAAATTTGGGTTTCATTTTTGAGGAGAAGTTTTTTGACCGGAGCAAATTTTCTGGGTTTTTGCTATCGGCTATTTTTTGACAAAACTCCATTTATAAAGCTTTACTTACCTCGTCTGTTTGCCTACTTTATTCCCAGAAATGGGTTCAGGTCAGTTTATTTCATGTACATTTTGAAATAGTTAATTGATAACTATCCCTCGCAAAAATGTGTCAATTTTCCTTTTTAAAAGTTTGGCCCGTAATTTGAAAGGTAATCAATTAAATGATTATATCCATGTCTATCGTATCATTCATCAAGGACGGAATTTGGTCGACCTAAAAAAGATCAATAACATTTTTGATTTTTTCCTCCCTCCCCCCCCCCCCCCCCCCCCCGAGAAATCCTAGATTCGTCCCTGCTGTTCATTTTTTAATTTTTTTAGCTTTCAATAGCGTGTCGAGGTGAGGGAACCAAATCCCATTTTTTATTTTTAAATTTTTCTAAAAGTTCTTTGCATTGGTTTTAATTTATAACAGCCATGTCTGGCAGACCAACACGCATTTCCAAGTAGGCTTTTGGCGCTCAATTGTTTGTGCTTTGAGGAGACAGCCAGAAGACTTTAGTCAAAACGGTAAAAAACCGCAACTTTAAACTTGAGTAGCATGTTGCTGTTTAATTAGCAGAAAAAGTTTTTACGACTACAAGCAAGCAAATTATCGGACTAAAATTAAAACTGAGACAGATGATAAAACCCCAAAAATTTAGAAATATCACACTGACGGCCTCTTAGTTCTCATTAAAACGTAAAATTGGGCGCAACCCTTTTCAAAAATTATTTCAAGTTGGTTTAAAACTCAAACAAAACAACTTGGCCGCAATTTTCGTTAACTGAGAGCAACTTTGGCATCAAAAAATAATTGAGCAAAAAAATTTCATCATACATTTTCATATATGAAAAATGTATGATATGCATTTTTTCGATAGAATACTTACAGTTTTGAGGTAACAAGTTTATTATCCTTTTTTATTACGAAGCTGCTTCTGTGCTCAGATAAACATTTTACAAAATAAAAGTAAGTTCGAACACTAAGTTTGATATTTTATGTCTTTAACGTAATCCAGGTTGAACTTTTCAGCCAAAAAACAAAAAACTGTTTAGTTTAGTGTTATTTTAAACAAATGTTTTTTTCATATGCTAAGATAAACCCAAATTTGTACAAAAAGAGGCCTCGTTTTTCAACCATCAAAACTTTTAAGTGAAAATTTTCTAGCCATATACAAAAACTGCGTTTTTAATATATAACTCTGAGTAAAAATTTAATATTAAACTACAAGGCTATTATGTTTTTGATTCAGGATTATGTTTTTGAATAAAACACAAAATTTCGAAATATTTTTTTTTGCATTTTAGTTTAAGAAAAAAAAACCTACCATGTAATTTCATAAAGCATCGAAAAAAGCTTATCTATTATAAAAAATGCTATTTTCACAAAATTTTGTTGTACAAAGTATGCAAAAATGGCATTATTATTTAATTCAAGAGTGAGCAAAACGGCATGTGATTAAACTCCATAGTATGAAAAAAATGCTTATTTTCTACTATCTCACAGTTTTTTATTTATCAAATTGTATGATATTCAATTTTTTCACAGTTTAAATTTGGCTCATATGCATTTTTTGAATCCCGTCCCCACAATTTTCCCCTCACTTACTTTTACTGTAGAAGTACCTGAAAAAATTACTGTAAGCGGGTGCCCTTATGCAGTCTCTTACGCCCACCACAAATGTTACGGGGGGTAGGTATGTGTGTGTGTGTGTATGTGTGTGTGTGTGTGTGTGTGTGTGTGTGTGTGTGTGTGTGTGTGTGGATCCAGGTGGGAGGGTAGGATCGGGGTGGGGTTGGGAATAGTTGTAAATGGGGGTGTCAGGCGGTGAGCGAGGGTAAGTAGGAGTGGGGTAGGTATTTGTGGGAGGGGGTAGGTAGGGATAGGCGGGGAGGATGAGGGTAGGTGGGGTGGGGGTACGTGTGCGTATCAATATGCAAGGGTGGGTGTAAGTTTGAGCGTGTTCAACTTGGTTGAAAAATTTGAGAAAAAGTTGGTTTTAAAAGTGAGGAAATTGGTTTTGCAAAAATTGCCTGGTTACGAGAAGGTTTAGAAATCAAGTAAGCTGAGAGTAATGAAGAAAAAGCTGCAACTCTTGCAGAAATTTTTTTTCAAAAGTAAACCAACATATTTCACTGTTCGGGCTTCTAAATTTCTCGAATTAAAATGGATTAATAAGGGTTATAATTGATTGCGTGGTTCCAAGTAAAATTATAACAGCAATTGATGGCAGCAGTTTTGTCTACGAAAACTGATTTTAATCGATTCTTATCTATAAAACCTCACTGCGGGTAGCAAATTCAAAGAAACGATCAGCTAAACTTCTTTTGAAATGAAACTTAGAATCAATAAAAAATTCAAATGCTTTGGATTATGACACTGGAAAATAAAAATGGTTCGTGTTATTTAAAGATTCAATGAAGTAAAATCAAATTTCTAAATAAAGTTTTTTTCGTCATTTTTCAAAATGCATAATTGATACATAATGTGGCTTTATATTCCTGATTTTTATTTGCAAAATGGTGTATTTTTGTAAATGGTGCCACTTTTGCATTGGCAATTTATTGTTCTGACCCTTGAAAATGGGGAGCAACTTTGTATTTGGGTGTGTTTTAGTTTTTTTTTCTTTCATTTTCGACGCAAAATCAAGTACCTAAAATAATCTTTGGACTGGGTTGTGTGATAAATCATATTAATGGTATTTTAGTTGTGATTCAAATCACATTAAAAAATTCCCAATCTTCTTTTCTATTGTTGAAAAATCGGTTTGAAAATTTGATTTTTTGTCTAATTTCGAGTGGTGAGCAGGCTTACGGTAGACTAATTATGCCTAATTTGGGCATTGAAATTTTTTTTCAAGTAAATTGATTTATTAGCTCCCTTTTAGACACCAAAAAGATCAAAAAATTCAAAAACACAATATTTGAAAAATTCAAAGTCTATTTTTTTGAAAATTAAAGTTTTTCTCGTTTTTCTAAAAAAAAACTTGTTTTTCTAGTAATTTTTTTACAGAAACTGTTTTTTCAATTGGCCAGTTTTTGTATGACTGTCAAATATGCCTAACTTTTATTTTTCCGTTCAAATCCTTTTTATCACACTACACACAAAAAAACGACACTAATTTTAAAACTTGCTTCTTGCACAGTAACTGGCTATACTTGTTAGCGCATGTTGATGCTTTTTTCATGACTACTTGCGTGTCTGAGACAATAGTGCGTGAGTGCGTAGATTGCAGTAGGTCTCAAATCGAATTCATACCTTGTCGAATTTTTAATAAATCGAGTTTTAATTCTATTTTTTTTTATTATTTCACTTTCTAGAGCTGCTTTTTGTCGTGTATCCGCTAGTGTTTGCAAAGCGAAGCTTCGCCTCTGTGTTATAAACAATGATTCAATGGTGGCAATTACGCTTTCAGTTTTTTACAGCTCTATAGAGAGTTTTTACAGAGTTTTCAAGCTCTCTCCAGGCTCTAAAGACAAAACAACATAAAGAAGCGCATAATTTTAATGTCTCTCCGGTTTAAATTGATCAAATTTATTCAAAAAGGCTCGTTTTTTCCATATTTTTTATTTTCTTTAAGATAACTTTTGCAACCATAAAAAACGTCGAAAAAATCTCGATGCTTTTCAAACCGTTTTAACATAACAAGTTTCCTGTCCCGATAGTTGTTTTCTGAAATTTATAACAAATGTTTTTCATGTTAGAAGAATTGGTGTGGCTGATTGACGAGACTTTTAGGACGATGAGGGTAATTTTAATGACGGAGTAAAAATTAGATAGCACTGCTATGTGTTTTTTTGTTGGTTCTCAGACGATGATGGTTATTTTAATGACGGAGTAAAAATTAAATATACACTTCTATGTATTTTCTTTTTTCTGTTTTGCTGGTTCTCAGAAGAAGTTTTATTGGCTGGGTCGAACTACTTTTTCAAATAAATTTTTGGCTGGATATTCGCCATTCATCTAAGCTAATAATTAGGATCTGAAGCAGTTGGATACAAACAATTATAAATTTTTGTGCATGGCTACAAAGCTTCTCTCACTTTTATTTTTTTTTCAGTAATTGGCCTTTATTCTACAGTTTTAATTTTTGTTTTACGATAAAAGACAAACACTTCTGCCTTCATAAAACTTTTGGCGTTCATATGAATGTATCAAAAAATTTGTTTGTACTTATTTTTGTCGCAGATTCTACAACGTGCGAAGATAATTAGTTGTTTCAGATTCCGCAGAAATAAACGAATTCGCAAATGCAGGCTCATTCCAAATCTGAAACTATTTCTCAAAATTGTAGCCAGTAAAGTAATATTTAAACTTGTCGATTTTATTCCGCAAACTTTGTTTCGAATTTTTTTTTCGGCTGAGAGCCTTTTTTCATAGAATCCAAAACAGCAAGAAGATAAAAAGGATTTCGTAATAGATCTGTTTTCAAACGGTTGTGGAATCCTTTTACAGCACCCACAGGACACAGTTTGCTATCTTTTTGATGTGTATGTGTAGCGTTTTTATTTAAAACGACTTAACACGTATTGTGGTTTTGGTTTAAAGCTTCATGATCAAGGGATTTCTTGGTTTCATAGAAAAGGTAGTTTTTTCGAAACGAAAGCTAGTCATACAATTTTTGTATAAGGAAAGGTGTAGGTAGAAGTTACACTCTATGAATGTCAGCCCATTGTGAAATGTGTCATATCATCTTTTTGAATCTCTCAGAGCTTGCAGCATTTACTTTCTGACAATGTTAGAAAAATCTGTCAGTTTGATTGTTTAGAAGATCACGGGGTGCCCGAGTTGAAGTTCAGAGTATTGCAATTCAGAGTATGTCTTAGATATTTCATTTTTTTGCATCCATGTTTCATGTATGTTGCAGTGCCACTTTAAAGATGTTCATCCAGGTTTCGTCAATGAAACATGGATGCAAATTACCTTGATGTTTCATTGATGACTCATGACTGAAACATGGATGTCAGTTTTATGATTCATCATTGAAACATGGATGAAAGTTAAATTGATGCTTCATTCCTGTTTTCCCTGTCCCCAAGTCCACCAATCATCGATATCTTTGAC